AAGGTATAACTACTTTATAATCATGCAGTGTAGTTTTGTCTCTTGAGTCAAAAATTGTCTGGGTTCAAATTCCTGCTATGCCACTTAGCAACTGGAAGGCCTTGGGCACATTATTTGACCTCTCTTGGCCTCAGTATCCTCATTTGTAATGTAGAGTTAATACTTAACTCATAAAGTTATGGTGAAGAATAAATAAGATTATATACAGCAACACAGCTAGCAAGTAGAACTCAAATATTAGCTCTAGTCTAGCTGTTTGTGTGGGAGTGGAAGAAACTGCTAAAGGAGAGGGTAAGAAGAGATCTAAGGGCAGAACCATGAAGACAACTAACATTTAATTGGTGTGCTGGTTTGAATAGTATCCCCCCAAAATTCTTGTCTGCTGGGAACCTTAAAATGTGACCTTATTTGGAAATAGGGTCTTTGCAGATATAATCAAATTGAGATGACATTATACTGGGTTAGGATTAGGGTACTAATCTAATGACTGGTATTCTTATAAGAAGGAAATTTGTACACAAAGATACACAGAAGGAAAATAAACATGAAAATGCGGGTAAGAGAACACCATCTGAGGGCACAGAGATATAGGAAAGAAGGCCAGGTGATGACGATGACAGAGACTGGAGTAAAGCATCTACAAGCTAAGGAACAGCACGGATTGTTGCCAACCACCAGAAGCTGGGAAGAGGCATGGAAGGGTCCTCCCTTAGAGCCTCCAGAGATAATATGACCTTGCCGACAATTTAATGTAGGACTTCTGGCCTCCAGAACTGTAAGAAAATAAATTTGTTTTAATCCACCCAGTTTTGGGTATTTTGTGGTGGCATCCCTAGAAAACAAATACAGGTGATGAGCAGACAGGATGGGTAATAACAATTTAATAACACTTAGTAGTTTCAGAATCGTTTCACAAATATAATGTCAATTGGTCCTCACAAAGACCTGAAATAGCAGGACAGTTTACAGATATGAAAATGGATGATCATAAATTATTAGAGGTGGCAGAAACAGAATTTGAACCTGAGTGAAGGGTCCTGTTCAAACACCATGACTTATTAAGCGAACTGCTTCATCCCTTCTCACTCTTTTTGAAGTTTCCTTTCCCATCACAACTCCAGCTTCATCCTCTTATCTCAGGCACCCTGCTTCAGTTAAGGTCACTGATCAGTGAATTCTACTGACTTTATATTGTCCACATCTATGCATTGTGCAACCTTTTGTTTTTTGCCACATTAGAATTTTAATAGAGAAAATTAGGAGTACATAAACATTACATATGAAACACAAATTGACATAGCCTAAATGAAAATGCCTGAGGAAACAAAGTACAAATTCAAGCTTAGAGATTTAGGTACTGGTACTTGATGAAATCACATTATTTCCCAGCAATTCAGTTTCCTCATTTGTGGTTTAGAGTGATAATCAAGTGAGTCAAAAAATGGATATATGTATATAAACATACATAAATGATATATAAAAATTCTATATACTGCCCAGTGCTATTAAAAATACAGATGTTTTCTTCTTAATTTCTTTCAATCACGTTTCTTTCTCTTGAGCTTTCGCTTGTATTTTCGCCTATACATTTCTCGTTTGAATTTCTTTCTCTTTTTTAAAAACCATTGATTTACCTGTTTTTCTGTCATGTTAAATTCAAATGCAAGTGATTCACGATGTCCTTGTGTGGGGCATTTGTTTAACTTAAACGTTGCCCAGAGAGTGTCCATGAGGGGCTTGCTGACTAATCTTTTCTCTGGATATTCTTCCTCACATTCCATTTTTTCTTCTTTTTTCTCTTCCTCCTGTGTTGGGGTCCAGCCCCAGCAGGTCCAGGGGTTCCCAAAAGTGTGGATGGAGTCGGCGAAGACTATCCACCTGCTTCCTACGGTGGAGTCCTATTCATCCCGAGTGCGGGGGGAGGGGCGGGGGGGGGAGCTTGCCTAGGGGAATCCTGTCCGGGCACCAATTGTTGGGGTCCAGCCCCAACAGGTCCAGGGGTTCCCAAAGGTGTGGACGAAGTCGGTGAAGAAGGAATGACACGGAGACAGCGTTCAGTTGATCAGCAGCCTAGCCAGGTTCTCCAGCCAAGTTCTGTCGCCAACATCTCCTGCCAGATTCTTTCTTTTCTGGTCTTGTTACATCTGTATTTATACCAGTTGATTTTAATCCTATCAATTTCTATTCCAAAGGTTAGGGCGTTTCTTTTTTTTTTTTTTTTTTTTTTTTGGTTAGGGCGTTTCTTATCTCCATTCCAGGGAGTAAAGATTATGTAGCTTAAGCATGATTGTTAGTAGTTAAAGTGATTAACTACCCACCTTGCATTTAGTTAAGGGGTTTTATTTCCTCCCTATCTTCAGGGGAAAAGTCCTACCTGGGGAAACAACCTTTCTCGGAGAGGTGACCTTGGTTAAAACACATAGCGTAAGAAGGGCAGCAAACATATTAAGAACAGTATGCCATATACGCCAGGTCCCTTGAAACATATGCTGTGCAGATATTTCTTCCCTGCAGCGACTGTGTCAAGCAGCATGGGTGGACCGGCTTCCGACAAAATCCCCCTTTTTTATTTTTTTAAATGATAGCGCGTGTAAATCAGCAGCCACCTCTCGGATTGGGTTGTTTAAGACTCGGAAAAAGACTGACAAGCAATGATAGCGAGCATAGCTATAAACATAGTGGATGGAGTACACAAGGAGCCTTGTTCCTGTAGAAGGTTGCTGGCCTCTTCAGTCAGGGGATTTCAGCTGTCCTCAAGTCGGTGGTTTGGCTGTCCTTGTTGATCTGGCTAGCAGGTGGTATCATTGGCAATGGGCTTCCCGAAGCGTCAGCGAGTTGAAGGGCTGGATCAAAGGGGCCATCAGGGCCATGCTTGATGGTGGTGTCGGTGTCCAGGAAGGAGTCAGCTGTGCCCTCTGGGTCAGCTGATATGGATGATACGGGGGGGCGGGGGGAGGAGGAGGAGGCGGAGATGGAGGGTAGTAGAGAGAAAAAGAAGAGAAAGCAAAAGAACTACAAGGCATGGAAGTGTTTAGAAAAAAGAGGGAGAAGAAAGGGAAGAAGGCAGCATCCTGACACAGCCCTTTCCTTCAGCTGCCCCTTTCCCTGTGGTCCAAGGTAGAAGTGGGAAACAAGTCCTATTGCAGTGAGAGGGCAGTTGCTGTCAGCCAGTCTCTGTCTTTACCTGGGGCCCGATCTGAGCTGGGCCAAGTCTCTTTCTGTTGTCTGGGTCCCGATATGAGCTGGGCATGGTAAGCGGGAAGCAGCCATGAGGGCAGGAGACCTCCCTCAGAAGGGGCGAGTGTTCAAGCCCCTGCATAGTTGGGGAGGTAAGGATCTGTGCCTCAACTCTGTTGACCCCCAAGTTCTCTCCTGACTTGCCTCTGTGACTGTGCCTGTCTTAGGTTGTTCCTTCCCTGAGGAATCTTACCCGTCTGTGGCTAACCAGCCATCCTCCGGGGCCAAGCAGGATGATGTGAGGTTCAGTTCTGTCTCCTTGCTAGCCTATGCCTCTGTGGCCTCCACGCCCAGCAACTGCTTGGGGATCCCCTCACCTGTTGGTGGTGCCCCGGCAATGATCACATATCTTGGGGAACCCAGGTTTCTTCTCCAGGGAGGGCCCAGCTCACGCCATTGGGCGAGAGACAGATCCATGGTACCAGCCACCATGAGGCTTCAACCTCAGCATGAACAGAGAGCTCGGGCAACAGCTGTGGGCAATTGGACTGTGAGGAGGGGGTCCCTCTTGACACAAGGGCAAAAGGGGCCAATACAGGACAAAGGAGAGTCTCGGGACAGGGCTTTCTCAGCCCAGGATATCAGGCTCTTGGCACAAGACAACTCCACATGTGGGGCATATACAGACACCCCCAGTCACAGCAGAAAAGGGAGGTGCCCTTCCTGGAACAGTAGGGTAGGGAGATTCTAGAAAAGGCTGTGTTCAGGAGAGAAGGAGAAAGGCCAAAGATCCAGCAAACAAGTTAGTCAGATTAAAAACAAAAGAAAAAGGAAAGGAGATGTGGGGCAAAGCTGGGACAGAAGGACAGACAAAAAGGAGGCACATGGGATCCTCCCAATAGACGGGTGGTTCCAGCTCAGGGCTGCACATCTGCTGCAGACAGGCACTGGTCAGGTGTGCTAACTCGGCCTCCCAGGGGTGACGGTCCCCAGGAGGGAGGCAGAGGCTGCTCCTTCTGGAAAGATACAAAACACAACCTCTTCCCTACATCAATACTAGATCTGGTAAAACTCTTGTCTGGTTTGTGTATCCTTCTACCAGGCTGAGTCGGCAGAGGTTATTGTACAGGAGGCCCGATGCCTTTTGGCTGCTGTACAACCCTCTGCATTGTATTTTTTAAAAAATTTAACAAATAGCCCTGACCGGTTTGGCTCAGTGGATAGAGCGTCGGCCTGCGAACTGAAGGGTCCCATGGTTCGATTCCGGTCAAGGGCATGTACCTTGGTTTCGGGCACATCCCAGTAGGGGGTGTGCAGGAGACAGCTGATCAATGTTTCTCTCTCATCGATGTTTCTAACTCTCTACCCCTCTCCCTTCCTCTCTGTAAAAAATCAATAAAATATATTTTAAAAAAATTTAACATATAACATTCTTCGCCCCCTTGGTTTTGTTTGTTGTTGTTTTTTTTTTAAGATATTTAAGTTTTTTATTTTATGTCCTTTAAGATGCATCTAAAAAACACACACACACATCAACTGCAAACGTGAAGGGGAGAAAAAGCATGGTACCCAACCAAATTTCCACATTTCAGCAATACTTCACTCATTCTTTAATAAAGTGTTAAGAAATGTCATAATGACACGAGCTTGAAATATTTCTAGTCATTTTTTCTGACGCTCATGACGTGGCACTGGTGATGTTGTACACAGCAGAAAAACAGGGGCTGCCAAATGACCAAATTATGGAGGCAAAGACCTGCTCTTTTCCCCACAGGAATACACGAAATGGTGATGGCAATGATCTCACACCCACACAGGAGGAGAGCAACATCATGCTACGTAACTGTATTCATCTGCTGAAGCCTGGCTGTGTTCAATGTACTGTTTGTCTATCAGCACTTCAATACACTTCTTAATCATGCTGATACTAGGGTTAAACCTAGCTCTTGGCTGGCGAATCACCTCTTGAATAAGGGCAGTATGCCGAAGCACTTTTCGTGCTTTCATGATACGAACTATAGCAGCTTGGAGACACATTTTCCGGTCCTCATCTACAGCACTTCTGGCTTGTTCTATTTCCTGCGGTGTGTCTTTCTGCATTGATGTAGTAATTTTAATTTTTTTTCTTCTACTGCTGAAGTTCATATTTAATGAAAATGAAGATTCTGCATCAATATCTTCATTTTCTGAATCATGGTTAATCATTTTCACATCAAGAAATGATTTGATTGTTTTTGTCAGTTCCTTTTCATTCATCTGTGTGCTGTCTTGAAGCTCTTGATAGCTGACAGTTTCACTGTTGTTGAAGGCTAGAAGAACTGCCATTTGGTATGTTGTAGCCATGGCTACATATGGTTTGCCCAAATAGTTCATTTTAACTTCACCTGTGCAGAGGTAATGTAACCATGTAAGTTTCCTTCCACCGAAATGCCGGCTGTAAAATAATTCAAACATCTGTACACTTCTGTTCAATTCCTGGGGAATCACAAATGTAGATGAAGGATCCTGAGTCAGAGGCCATGCGCCAGCCTGTAGAACATGTATTTGAAAACTAATTCCCAAATCTATTACTGTGTCTTGATTTTTGATAAAATTGTTGAACTTACTGTTGAGATCAGCACTGACACTCATATCTGTATACATCCGATGTAGCTTGCTGGTAAACTCATAACCACATGCTTGCTTTAATTTATTGATCATGGCTTCTTCAGAATCCATAGACATAGATAACCCGTGAAGTAAACGTTTCGCCAGCATTTTTGCATAGAACTTTTGAAAAACATCCTTATCATCGATATATTTGAAAACAGTAATGAAGCTGGTAAGTTTGCCTTCCACTTCATTCTCAGTCATCCCCTTTGCTGATTTCTTTAGTAAGTTGTCACAGTACTTAGCAAGCAATTCAGGAGCTTTGCAAACAGACTGGGGTTCTCTGTAATTTACAACTGATGTAAGAGCCTTATCCAATGCACTCATGAAGTGCTGATCACCATTCAAAACAGTGTTGATAAGTTGAACAAATTTACCATGTACTTCCAAAACTGACTCCACAAATAGTGTTGGCATATTTTCCTGAGTAGGATTACTGGTCGCTCTAAGGCCCTCATCACGGACATGATTTTGCAGCTCCTGTATCATAGGAGGTAAACCACTGGACACAGCATGGAGTAAGACATACATATTTGCTATGCCATTTTTGTTCTCTTGTTGAATGATATTATGACATTCGGCATGTAAGAACTGTAATTGGTCTGCTACCATTCGTTGCTGACATTCATTAATCACTTTAGTATATGAACTTGGGTGCAAGTATTTTTGACATCAAATATCTTCATCTTTTAATCTACCTAGAACTTTTTCCATATATTGTGAGCAGTTTGATTCTTGTAATAAATTTGAAGCTTCTTGTTTGTAATACTCTCCTGCTTCAGTCAGAAAGAGGGACTCAAAGATTTCCTGATAAAACTTTAAGGGGAATGTTTTCTTATACTGTTCAACATGAACAAAGGAGTTAATAACCCCATGGATTACTTTCTGGTTTGGGTCTTCTCCACCACGATCATTTTTGATTTCTTGGAGCAGCATTCGAATAAGGATGGTCTGAAGTGGTTCAACCATTAATTTCCTCCACATATCCAATGCTAGCTCTCCTATTTCCATAAGAGGTTCATTCATATCTATACCACCATAGCCATACTGAAGGTCAACTTCTGTCTGTTTGTTTGTTTTAATAAACTTGGTGTTGAGATTTCTATACAAGCAGTCCATATAGTCTGCACCCTTGCTATATTCCTCCCAATACCTATGATACATAACAAGTACTTGCTCTTCAGACTCCAGAACTCTCTTGTGCAAATACCGTACATGATTTTCCAAAAAAATCTTCGTTTCTGTATGAAGTCTTTCTCCAAGGGGTTCAGGATAGGCCACACATAAAGCATAGATATCTGAGAAGCAATCATCCCATGTTGCTCTTTCGACGTATTCCAACATGACAACAGCTTTGATTGTCCTTAAAAGTTTGTTCCATGTTTCATCAAAATCTTTGACTCTTGGTTTCAAAGACATTGTGCAAGTTCAGTGTTGAAATCTACAAGGGAACTCACATTTGACTGTCAGCTTATTTATCAATTGTTGGGGTCCAGCCCCAACAGGTCCAGGGGTTCCCAAAGGTGTGGATGCAGTCAGTGAAGAAGGAATGACACGGAGACAGCGTTCAGTTGATCAGCAGCCTAGCCAGGTTCTGTAGCCAGGTTCTAGCTGGGATCTCCAGCCAAGTTCTGTGTTTTCTTGTCTTGTTACATCTGTATTTATACCAGTTGATTTTAATCCTATCAATTTCTATTCCAAAGGTTAGGGCGTTTCTTATCTCCATTCCAGGGAGTAAAGATTATGTAGCTTAAGCGTGATTGTTTGTAGTTAAAGTGATTAACTACCCGCCTGGCACTTAGTTAAGGGGTTTTATTCCCTCCCTAACTTCAGGGAAAAATCCTCACCTGGGAAAACAACCTTTCTCGGGGAGGTGGTCCTGTTTAAAACACATAGTGTTAAGAGGGGGAGCAAACATATGCCATATACGCCAGGTCCCTTGAAACATATGCTGTGCAGATGTTTCTTCCCTGCAGTGACTGTGTCAAGCAGCAAGGATGGACCGGCTTCCAGCACTCCTGTTCCTCTTCCAGTTTATTTTTTCCATCCTTTTCCATTTCTTCTTCCTTTTCTCCTTCTCCTTCTCTTCATTCTTTATTTTTCCTTCTTTCATCTTTACTATGATTCCTATTGGATTGCTCTGGATTTTTATCACAGGGCATAACTGGTTGTTTCTGTATAGCAAGATCATGTAGATGGCAAAATTGTTTAAAGAGCAGAGAAGTAGAAAAGGCCATTAGATTTCCAAAATGTGTTTCTTCCTATCACTCCTCTGATGGGTAGATGGTTCGTCAGAAGCGCAGGATTTTTCCATTGTGGAACCTTAACTCTTACTGTGTTAAGACCTTATCCTTGTAGGGAGGTGCAGGCATCCACAGCAGATAAGAAAGACATACTTGGTGAAAACATGTCATTCCTTTTCCCAATAACTTAAAGACAAGGCAGCAACCCATCCCAATAACTCATTTCCATAGCAATTTCAGCAGGAAACAAAGAGAGCATTCAAACGATGAAGTTGTAAAGAACCTATGGTGTGCTCACAGTGACCACATAGAAGAGCTAACTTTTCTCGGGTTACACAGCTCCTCAGGACCGCTTGTTTCTCCATAAATCATGACTTATGCTATTTTAAACTGATTTCTTTTATAGTAGAAACTTTCAGCGGAATGACTATCAAAGAAAACGTTGTCTATACGTATTATTCTCTAAAGTGTCAGTAGGACAGGTTTTTGAAATCATATAGTTTTAGGGTCCAATTCTGGCTTTCTGTTGGGACAGCGGGAGCGTATCTGAATCTCTGAGTTTCGGTTTGCACGGGTAAGAAAACATCTCTTCTCTGTATTTCTTGAGAAGCACAAGTTATAGGCAAAACACCGGACACAGCAAAGTTCGCTCATGATGTGCTAGGGCGAGGGACTGTGGCATGGAAGGGTTACAGAATGTTACTGAATGTGCTCGGAGGGAGGAGGATGTATGAGGAAGGATTGTGTTGTCAGGATATGGAGGATTGTGTATGTGCTGGGAGGGGGGACTGACGTATGGAGAGGGATTGCAGGGTTAGGAACCATGGAAGAAAAATTGCTAGATTGTCTTAGAGAAACAATGTGTTATGATACACTCCAGCCAGGTGTGACTCTGTTTACCCCCCCCCCCTTTGTTCTTCTGAACTTTCTGTGAACTTCTAAGGTAACACTCTTTGCTATAAAGGATCATACTGCACCCTTGATCTCTGCCACATGCTCTGAATCTCCCAGAGGGGGAGATAGGCGCTGTGGTCAGCTGGCCAGCTTAATAAAGGCTCTTAAATTTAAATTCTGAGTCGTTGGTCTATCTCGTTGAGCCAACCCATAACAATGACAGCCCGAATCACAGTTTTTGAGCTTTTGCCTTCTCTTTCCGCTTTTTTGAGCTTCTGGGCTACGGTATGGAGATCAGAGACCTCGCCAGGGACTGGCGAAGGAAGCCTCCACCCGCGGCGCCCCTGCAGGGCGTGTCCGGCGGGAAGGACCCCGGGTGGCCCCGCCCCTCGGGGCGGCCGGCGCGCCTGATCGCCTGGGCTCCCCTCGTCCCCGCGCCCCCCACACCCAGACCAGCGGCGAAACGCGCATTTCTTCTTCCTTAGTCCCACGAACCGGGCCGTCTGCGAGGTGTGGATCCCACGCGAGTGAGGCACAGCCCGGGACAGCCCGGGGCCGGCGCGCCGCGGCCACGCGAGGCCCCCGCCGTCACCGCCGCCCTGGCCCCGCCCCCTCGGAGCCGAGGAGCCTAGGCCCGCGGGTCCGCGTCTGCCTGCCCACCGGCAGCCATGCCGCTGTACGAGGGCCTGGGGAGCGGCGGGGAGAAGACGGCGGTCGTGATCGACCTGGGAGAAGCCTTTACCAAGTGAGTGGTCGCGGCGCCGGCTGCGGTCGTCTGGGGAGAAGGGCTGGTGGCCGACACCCAGGCCCGGCTCGGCCCTCATTGCCGGCTCACGTCCCCACTCCCCCCAGTGATGGCCACTGTGATTCCACCGTGGGCGGTGCGAATACTGAGGGTCCGGGGGCGGCCGGGTTCTGACTCCCAGGGAGGCCGCGGAGGCTTGGGGAGAACTGCCTTCGCCGATGCGCGGGGTGGTCGGGTAGTTACCCCAAATCGAACAGACCCTTTGGGGTGACCCCTGCAGGGGATGACAGCGGGGAGCTAGACCCGCTTCCCCTGGGCTTCTCAGCTCAGGACTCTGGCAACCGAGTCGGCAGCCCGATGACCATCTCCATCCTTAACCACTGAAGGAGCGTCTGTGGGTGCTGGAGATCCCAGTGTGTCCACGGCGGGGCCATTGCTCCCCACCTCTTTGACTGGACACGTCAAAGAGGTGGAATCCTATAGATGAGACTCTCGAGATTGCACCCCCCCCCCCAAAAAAAAAATCCTCTTAGATGAGCAAAAATAACATGTTTTAATAGGCAACTTGTAAACACTACTAGAGTAATGTTTCTCAACCTTTTGGATGGCATAGATCCATCCCTCTGACGACCGAACAAAAGCCACATATACACACCTTAATGCACTTGCACCTGGTTTCAGGGATTGGTGCGTATCAAAGTGGGCCTTGGACTCCAGGTTGAGGGCCCTTGTACTGGGCTCCAGACAGAGGAGAGTGACAACCAGAATTGCATCTTGTATATATTTTAAACGGAAACATTTGAAAATCTTCATGTACATAAAATCTTAATGCCTAACATGTAGTAGGTATTTAATAACTTTATTGAATAAACTAGAGGCCCGGTGCACAAAACTCGTGCATAGAGGTCAGGGGGGGATCCCCTCAGCCCAGCCTGCACCCTCTCCAATCCAGGACCCCTCAGGGGATGTCGGAAAACCGGCAGTGGGACATCCCTCTCAAGGGGGACCACTGGCTCCTAACTACTCACCGTCCTGCCTGCCTGGTCACCCCTAACTGCCTCCCCCGCAGGCCTGGGCGTCTCTTACTGCCCCCTCTGCCCACCTCTGCCGGCCTGGTCGCCCCATGCAGCCTGTTCAGTCGTCTGGTTGTTTCAGTTGCGACGGGCTTAGGCTTTTATATAGAGAGAGGGTCAAAGAGCCTATTTAGAAATTGAACCTCAGGTGCACCAGAATTGAATTAAATAGTCCTTGGATTAACTAGTCCATTCTCTTACTATCTGATGCAATATTTTCCCTTGTTTACATTTTTAAATTTACTCTTAAAGGTTTATTTCTAGCATAATAAATATCTTGAGGCTGACACCCAAATATAAATATGTTAAGGAAATGAGAAGCAGAAAGATGCAATACAGGAAGATGACTATTGACAAAGACACCAGTGATAAGATGAATCTATAAAGTAAAAGAAAAATTGAAGCTGACTGATGAGTTGCATCCTGGGAAATTTGAGGAGCACTGGTGCAAGTAAACATGGAGTTGTGGTTAGTAGGAGGTGGAAAGAGCTATTTGGAGATAAATAGGAGGAGAGCAGTACTGCAGACAAGCAGGACAAGAAGAGATAATCCTCAGACTAAACTTAAATGGTGATCATTTTTTAGCAACATTTTAAGCAAAGATGTGTTTCACTAACATGAAATAGAAATGGAAATACCTAGCCCTAGCCGGTTTGGCTCAGAGGATAGAGCGCCAGCCTGCGGACTGAAGGGTCCCAGGTTCGATTACGGTCAAGGGCATGTACCTTGGTTGCAGGCACCTCCCCAGTGGGGGGTGTGCAGGAGGCAGCTGATCGATGTTTCTCTCTCATCGATGTTTCTAACTCTCTATCCCTCTCCCTTCCTCTCTGTGAAAAATCAATAAAATATATTTAAAAAAAAAAAAAAAGAAATGGATATACCTAAATACTCAAGAAAGGGGAATAGTTTTTTAAAAGGATGAAATACTATGCACTATTTAAAATGATAGCAATGAAGCCCTAACCGGTTTGGCTCAGTGGATAGAGTGTCGGCCTGCAGACTGAAGGGTCCCAGGTTCGATTCCGGTCAAGAGCATGTACCTTGGTTGCGGGCACATCCCCAGTAGGGGGTGTGCAGGAGACAGCTGATCGATGTTTCTAACTCTCTATCCCTCTTCCTTCCTCTCTGTAAAAAATCAATCAAATATATTTTTTAAAAAGTTTAAAAAATGAAATGATAGCAATGAAAACTAAATATGAAAAGCTTATTATAAGTTTATTATTATGAGTGTATGATGTATGAATAGTGTGATTCTAACTATGTCAAATATTCATAGTTTAAAAATAGACCAAAAGAGGCCACATGGCTCAGAGGTTGAGTGTTGACCTATGAACCAGGAGGTTACAGTTCCATTCCTGGTCAGGGTACATGCCTGGGTTGGTGGCTCCATCCCTAGTGTAGGGTGTGCAGGAGGCAGCCGATCAATGATTCTCTCTCATCATTGATGTTTCACTCTCTCTTTCTCTCTCTTCCTCTCTCTCT